TAATTGTACATATATAAAATATATATATTTTTAATGTTTACAGTGACATTAGTATAGAAATTTTATTTTAGGACCTCTTTCATTAATATTAATCGATAGTTGACTTAATCATCATGATTGAATGTGAGAACTAAACACAGTTTGTCTCAAAAAAAAGAGGAAAGAGATGTTTTGAAACATTAAACTGCTATTAGCATTTCTGCTAGTTGATTATCGATTAATTAATCGAAGTTGGTGAAAGAGTCTTTATATATAGTCTTATATAGTCTTATTATTATTTTTTTTTCATATAAGATCTACTAGAATTTTAAATTCACGCGAGAAAGGCACAAGTGCTCGACATGTGTTGGTAACGCTGTCTCTGATATGAATTGTGTTCCAAAATTTATTACCAGTACTGAAAATCTAAATCTTATATTACGTGGATCATAGATTTTTTTCAGTACTGGCAGTAAATTTTGGAACATAGCTTGAAACTCTTTTCCGTGAAAAGAAGAGATAAATTGAGGTTCATTCATCTGTTATAACATTATATATTTTTATTATAAAACTTTGAATTTTTTAATAACGCACAGCCGTTAATTGCCTTTGAACGCGTTCTTTCAGAATAAATGAAAGTATATTTCAGTCTACCTATAATTTAACTTTAACTAGATAGTTTAATTTTCAATATATTTTTGATAAATCATATATTTTTAAAGCTACTATATGTACTGTTGTTCTTCTTGGCTAATAAAAACACGATATCTCTTTGAAAAAACATTAATTAAAGAATTATTTTGTCTATTTGATATTATAAAATTTATATAATTCGGAAATTATCAATGATTCGACATTTAATTGTTAAGAAAAGATGAGTTCCACCCAGTAATTATGCTATTAAAATTAAAATCGAGCCTGTAGGCGGACATTAAATACAATCATAATATTAAATATTTATGAACAACTAAAAAGTATGTACATAAATATTTAAGGCATTTGTGCATTGATATCCAGTGTACATGATATATATAGTATGTACATATAATGTATATAATGTGTATCGAGCTGTGTATGTTCTTCTTACGAAGAATTTGAGAATGTCCAACCTATATTTGTTAGTGTAAAAAATATTATTTGCATTTTTCCCATTGTACTAGATTTGCTAGCAGTACAAGCCACTGCCTTGATTCTCAATAATAAATTTCGTTAAATATTGTACCGACTTCTCATTTAATCCTAAATTCGGTAACTCTCTTTCAAATTGTTCCAAGGTACCAGCTCCTGCGATGTAGCCGTTCAACTTGGCTGCTAGTGGAGACTCACACAAAATTTCTCGTGTGTTGAAGCCCAATGTTTCAATTAGCCATGGATGATTCTGCAGTCGATATTTCTGATGGTAACTAGAAAGATAAGGTAAGTTTTAATTAAATTGGATATGTCTCATCTTTTATTATTCTTATTTTTTCTATATTATTTACATATTTTATTATATACTATTTGTCTGTTAAAATATGCAACTGAATTTATTGTGTCTATCTAATGAAATCCAATAAAAATATTTTTTAAATATTTACTATATCAGAAATATATTTAAAATTGTAAAATTATAATTATTTTGAATTTATTGTTAGCAAATTATCTATTTTATAACTTAATATCACTATTATAACATTATTGTCATATTATTATATAATTATATCATATCATATAACAATTATATAAACATGCATTTTATCAGCAGTCTAAATTAGTTAATATAAATGTTGGCAGAATACTTCACTCTCTAAAACTTTTAGAATGAATTTCATTCTGAAGAATGAAATCTTACTATTAAAGATTGAAAATTGAGTTATTCTTTTTCAAGACTGACTCAATTTTTTCACTCTTTAGAGATTCTACTCCAAAAAATTTAGAGAGCAAGTAATGTTGAGTGAGAATACAAAAGAATTAAATTATTGAATAAAAGCAACAATATATACGGGTACAAATAAAATTACTTACTCTTCGGCTGGATAAAACTTTGAAAACTTCTGAATTTCTGTGACAAAGACTTCTCCACGCTTCCGTTGTTCCTGCTCGCGAGATTTTTCAGCTTGTAATTTTTGTTCTTCATCGTGATATAAGATCAGTGACATGTACTGCAAATTAAGTTAATATTTAGCATTTAGTTTGTATGCAAATAACATGTGAATGATGTTTTAATTATTTACCATACTAAAATAGAGTGATTTAAGAATTATAGATAAATTTAGTTTGTGCCAAATCAAGACTTTGTCCTGTAAAGGATGCACTATCTTGACACTTCAAAATTTAAAACTATGTATTTATAATTCTTAAATCATTCTATTTTTTTTACTGTATACAGTCAAACATAATTAAAGTTTATTAGCAACATACCTGTCTTTTAATCTTCTTTGTTAGACTATATTCATGATTGTTCCAAAACAAGCTTAGTAGATGTGTGTAAGATACTAGTTCTGGATCATATTCGATATTGATGACCTCAGTATGGTCTCCCCTACAAAGTAGAAGTAAAGAATGTTAGAAATGATTTTGTGAACCTTTCAAATTACATTATTATGATGATTGGATGATAGCAATGGGATATTAACATGTTCTTGTATGCCGGAGACTCCTTGATCCCACCAGCGTAACCGACACAAGTTCTGATGACACCAGGCAGTACTCCAAAGAGAGAATCCCCCGCCCAGAAGCAGCCCATACCGAAAGTGGCAAGCTTGCCTTTGATCTCCTCCCGTTGTTCCGGCATTCTGCTGAACGGACAAATATTGTTACGTTCAAAGATGCTCGGGCACGTGAAGTGTGTGCCACATTGATACGATGAAATGGAGCAATTGTCCGCGAAAACAGTCCGGACTAAACATGGTAGCATAACGGTGATCATGTGGTGTGATCGCAACATCTTTGACGATTTCGGTTTCGTCTGATACGCCGCCTACTTTCATGGACTCGACGCCACGCTCTGTAATGCTTCCACAGTGGCATGCGTTAAACCGGTATCGCGGACGATATCGGGTCGGAACAGAGACGAGCTCGCGCTAGAGTCGCCAAGAGGTGGCGGACGAGTGCGAGAGAGGGGGACGCGCACGTGCTGAATGTCTACGGTTGCGCGAAAACGTCAGGGAGACGATTTATCGTGTCGAGTGCACGTGCGAAGAATGAAGGTCAGAGAAGACCAATTTTCCTATGTGTCGACTGATTAAATTAATTGATTGATTCGCGGATCAAATAGCGAGTATCAATAATAATGTGAATCATAAGTTCTCTGATGTCATGACCTCGATGTTTGATACGTAGGCCGTGACGAATTTTTTTTCGATATTATCACTCGTCTAAATTCCATTTAATTTTTAAAGTCAATTTTAGCAATTTAAGATTAAGCCATTAATTAAACTTAAATAGCTTATTATCGAATATATTATTGTACTTAATTTGTAAGAATATTTTTGTAAAAGTATTAATTTTCAAAGCAAAAATTAATATCTTTTGAATGAATAGATTCATATGTATTGTATAAAATAATACATTAATATTATACTGCTCTGATTTCAATTGTTATATAAATTAATTTAATCATTATTTTGGAATTCTTAGAAATAGAATTCTTAGAAATTCTTTGCAAATGATATTTCCGAAAGATTAATATTTCTACAACTAATGATGTGTCAGTATTATATTATCATATTATGTAATTTTTTTGCCATATAATTGCTATTCAACGATAATATAACGGTATCAATATTGTCATCAATATTGTTATCATTAAGACTTCACAGTAGAGTTAAAGAAGTTAATTTAAAGAAGATCTTGCAATTAATAAAATTTTTGGTATAAATTATGAATTATTTTGTCAATTTTTCTCGTGTTATATTTACGAGATGTTTAAGTTGACAGCAAAAATTTAATGTGAATTTAAAAATTACATGGAACAAGAGAGACGATTTTTCTTCAATAATTGTTTATCTTTACTTAGGGTGACCATACTCTTTTTTCCGAACGTGTACTCTTTATTTATATCAGGCGTCCGGGGATGTCCGGATGGATTTTCAATGTGTTCTTTTGTATTTTTAGAACTTAGGAGCGAATGAGAAGTTATTTTGAAAGTTATTAAATCACTGTGATAACTGTTACACATTAAATATATTAATACATAGTACAGGATAAATATATAATAAGACATTAAGACCATTAAACAATAAGTATCCAGCATAAAATCGCCATATGATTTACATAAGATGCTAATTAGACATTAAGTTTATTCGCACTCAACATCTTCGCTTTTTCTTTTATTTATCTCATTTTAAGTTTAGAAATTTTTTACATAAAGTTGTTTTGTTCGTCTAATGAATTTAATAAACTGTCTAAATGAATTTAAAAGAAATTTAAAAGGAATATAAAATAATACAGGTCTCAAATTAAACGATGTCTATTTCTATTTTATTTTTTGTTTCCTTTATTTTTTTTAGTATTCGTCTTCGTGAAAAAATAATAGTGTACTACTTTTGTACTACTTTTCCATCGGATGTCCTACGTCACGTGCATTGCATCTGATCATCTACCTTTATTTAAATTGTTTGTATCCGAGTTCTGATATTGTGAGCACATGTTACAACATATATAGTAATGGATATTATTAACTATTTATTCTTTTAAAGCTTATTACTTAAGATTCTTTCAAATTTGATTTCAGATAGTATCTTGAGATTCCAATTAATAAAATCATCATACTTAAGATCGGACACAATGCCCTTCTTTGATCTTCAAATTCTTCGCAAAGGACTTATTGACGAAGCTCGAGAAAATTTGAAATCACAATTAAGATTCTAAAATCTCAAAATGATTCAGAATTCCTTGTTTATGATTTACACGTATTATTCAGAATTTATGATCCCGACACGTCCCTATCTTTCTTCACTTAATTGAGGTTTTATCGACATGAAAGAGGAGGATTTGCGCTCCGGCGCAAGTCTGAAGTATCGAGAAAATATTATTTCCTATTCGCAGAAGATTCGTGGGAATATATAATGAAAAATACATAATTATTTCATATAAATTGATAAAATTTTATACAATTAAAACAAGTTTAATTTGTCATTTCAAAAATCCCCACTTTAAAACATTCGAACGCAAATTGTTTGAACCAATTGTTTACATTTTATGAAAATCAGAAATATTTAAGAATAGAGCAGAATTTTGTTTTTAGAATTTCGTTTTACCTTAATAGTAAACTCGAATGCTCGTGATCGATTTGCTCAGGCAATGGTCTATCGGACAGTTGCTGTCGATCGCAGGTTTATACACGTTGATGTTTCTTTCTAGAACGAATAGTAAATCCTTCGAGTAACTAATAACGGAGTAAAACCGACTATCGTGTCTACAGACGGCATTCGGTTTTTATTCGAGTATGTATGTCTCTCCCCGCCACATCTCTCATCTTCTCATGCTCCCACTTCGTAAACGCTAAGACAACTGTACGATTCGATCGTGCGTCTCAATAGACCTGAATAGACTCATATTCTTCTCATTGTATGCCGGAACAAAGGATTGACAAAAAAGAATGTATAACATCACATTTTTGAATAACATCAAAAGCTTGTCAACTTATTAGAAATGACTATAAATACACTATAGGCCTGTTCTTTTTATCTGAACTTTTGCACCAATTCATCTTTCTTCTTCTTTTTTTCCTTCTAAAGAGAAAAGGAAGACAAATGAACTGGTGCAAAAGTTCAATCAAAAAGAAGAACTTATAATTCGGCCTTATAACTCGAACTAAAGACTGATTACAAAATGTATTATGTTACTTTACATATGAATAATATTCAAATTTTTAAGACTTTTCTAAACGTTATTATAATTTATATGTTGTTTATTATTCTGGAGCTTGTAATCGGCGATTTATTTAATTTTATTAGTATGTTACGAAATATATATACTTTAAAGTTATTCTAAAATGAATTTTAGAAAGAAGATATGGAAAGAAGTCATATCTTGCGAAGCTTATTATCAATATCAAATATCTTGATATTATATAGATAAGTTTTTAAAAGAAAGATAATCAGTTACGAATTTTTCTAGTCTTATTTGACAATATAAAAATAATAACTGAAACATATTCAAATTTTATTATAATATCCTGACGGATTAAAATTACAATCATAAATTCAGAATTTTTTTTCATCACGGAATTTATTCGTTAAATTAATATAAATTATAAAATACTTGTATAAATAATACAAAAACTAAATAATTTATAATAAATAAAAAATTATGGGATAAAAATTTTATTGTGCTAGATAAAGGTATAAAATGATATTTGATGAATCTGTGACTGTGGAAGCACATTCTTTCAACATAAAAAAATAAGTTTGTAATCCTTATTATATATTATTTACTTAATTTAAATTATTTAAATCGTTTTCTCTATTCAATAAAAAAAGAAGTTGTAGTCACAGTTTGATGTAAATTTGTCATGTTCGAATTAGAATACGATTATCCATTGATGCTATGACCCCGTAACTGTTGCATATTGCATTTGATCGAGGACGGCAGATTGTGATTTCTCACTGATTTCTAAGAAATATTCTGTGTTCTCTTTCGATTCTTCATATGTTATTTAAAAAAATAAAATTTTTATAAAAGTGAACAAATTAAAACTTAATATACAATAAAAACTTAATATATATTTTTAGACAATTAAAAAATTTGAATCGCGATTATCATATTTCGTCAAATATTAAGAAAAAAAAACAGAATAGATAATCATTTGAAAGATTTGACTTGACATCAAATACTTCAGATGATATATGAAGTACAAGTGCACACATATGACGGATTGATAAATCATGTATTTAATTAAGTGTGATTATTTGAGCGATAAAGATTCGAGAAATTATTAATACAAATATGTATTAGATTATATGTCTTTTATCGCGCTGTGTAGTGCTCCTAACAGAGAGAATAGATTGTATAGTTTTCTATTTAAATAACATGAAATCTGATACGATTAAGATTTGGTATCAAATATCAAATTAGAGAAACAATTAGTTGTATTTATTAAATACAAATAATATATGAAATTTTTATAAAGAAAATATATTTATTATATATTAATTTAAAAATTCGCAATGCAAGTAATAATGTTGCTAGTCATTGCCATTACTCGTATTGCGAAAGATTCAAGTAATGGCAATGACTGGCAATATTAAAGGTTCGGGGAGACGCTATTAGCACTATTAGTGTCACTTTATCTTTGTTTTACGTCTAATAAACAATAAAGACAGAATGACAGAAATAGTGCTAACAATGTCTTTTTGAACGCACTATAAGATATCGCACCATATGAAATTATCAGAAAATATTTAGATTGTGAGCAGTATATTTTTAAGAGGCAAAATATATGAATGATTTAAATTTAATATAACACGCTGAGGAATAAATTTATTACATAAAAGACACAAATAATATCAAATAAATTTTAAGCATTTAATATTAATAAATTAAGCAATAAAATTTAAGCATTTAATATCATGTCTTTATTTATTGTCAATTGGCTCTAATAAGGCTCAATAAAACATAATGGTTGCATCAGAAAAGACAAGCGATGCACAATTGATTAAATCAGTTCTCAATTGACAGTCGACTGATGTAATCTTTCTCTTATGGCCGCTAAGCTATCGTAGATGTTGGTGTCACTATCACTGTCATTATCAGTCACTGGAGTTCCTGACCCGTATCTTAACCCAAATAGAATTCTATATTGATAATAATAAAATGAATCATGGAAAGTGTGGCTAATAGACCAAA